ATCAAAAATAACAACGGTTCTGACACTGATCCTTGAGGTACATGTTAGTCTGCCACTTTATTTTATACCAGTTTACCTTAAAACATAAAGAACTACGGATTTAAATCGTTGATAAGTGTCAATATATACAAGTAAAGTGAGAATACTCTGACTCAAGTTACATGACTAAAGAATGTATAAAGAAAGAATGTAGAATTACTTAGGATAAACATTAATAAAACAAAGAGAAAAAAATTCAAAGGAGTAACATAGAATGAGTATTAAGTCAGTGATGAACTGACATAACAACACACACCATCTAATACTGTTTGAATAGACCTATCTGCTAAATAACTACAGAATCACTCTAGAGTTCTTCCTCTGATCCCTTCTTCTTTAGCTTTAATAATAGCCTCTCATGACTAACATTATCAAATGCTTTTTGAAAATCTAGCAAAACAACTGTAACATAATTGTCCTGCTGCATGTTCTCATTAATTTTACGAAATGGCTATTGCCAGTCCAATATGCACTTATGCAATGCATAAATGTGTTATTCAAAGTGTTATGTTGAGTAAGTCCTGAATTTGACGGTCTATGAGAGGTGGTTTGGAGCGGGTGGGATGGCTGTGCATGAATGTGAGCCACTGGAATAGTTCCATGTTACCTGGAGACGATGGTCTTTTTTGAATAACATATTTATGCAGTGTGTAAGTGCATTTTGAACTGTCAATAGCTCTTGCTGCCAGTTCGATGGGATGTCAATAGCTCCTTGCTACCAGTCTTTAGATTATCGATAGCTTCTTGCTGTCACCCCGGGGATGTCAATAGACCTACCCTTAATTTTATGCGTAATGTCGAGCTACAGTTGAACTGCTTTTTGAGAAAGATATAACTTCGGTGCATTTTTTGCGGTTTTAGTTTCAAAAGCTAACATCCAGATCGATGCTAAACTCTAAAAAAATCTGTCTACGCGCGAAAGACATCTTCGCTTAATTGGTGCTCAATATAGTTAAAATGCTTTGTAACGAATATTTCTGCATTAGAATTATTTTGTTGACAGATACAAATATCTGACCCACGTATTACTTTTTATCTTGTCAATTGTGGTTATTATCATATCAGAAATATTATTGTGTATATTTATTTTACTCGATATATTAGTTTTTGTTTTCAAAATGATACGACAAATGAATGCAATGAATAAATATTGATTGTTCTTGAACTTCTACACATTTGTAATTTGAGACTTAATTCTTAATTGTTCGATCTATTTTCGAAGGGTTAAAAGATTATTTTTAGTAGAAAACATATCATATATACAATAATAATAAAATATTTATTAAAAAAACATTCATATAATGTTTAACTATGAAATGATCTAACCACAGTTAAAGTTGTGAAGAGTTAGTTATAAAGGTAACATCAAATCAGTAAGAAAGCTGCGGTAAGAAAAGTTACTATTGAACCGATAAATCATTCTTGAATTAAGATGGACAGTAAATTAGGTTATTTTTGTGTACTACTTATTATTTTAAATCATTTGCAACAGACTCAAGGAGGTAAACTGTTAAAAGGTTTAAATTTAATGTTTAAATTTATGAAGACGAACATTTAGTATCATGTGCTGTAAATCCATGTGGATTGGTCGCGAACCAATTTGATGGAGCTACAGGTTATTATTGTCAAGATATACCGCCGACATATCAAAATTCAATCTGCATATGTCCAGGAAATGTTGTAACATCAAACTGTCCATGTCGTATGTTCATGCAAAATTAGACAAAACGCATTTCAAAAGAATTACTCTTTTATTTTCAGGTTCAACATCCGTTATTGTAAACCGTATGTGTTAATGATGTCTTTTAGATAGTGACTGATATATCCATATACGTTTTTTAGCTGTAACTCAGTTATGTAATAATCTCATCTGTTTAAATAATGGTGTCTGTAGTATAGTCAACGGTCAAGCAGTATGCAGTTGTGCAGCAGGTTTTTCAGGAACAAATTGTGAAATAGTCGGAACTGGTAAATAGCTGATAAAAGGTGACTTATTTCATTGATATATGTTTTAATACTTTATTAACATGTAAAGCTATAGCTAGCCGATGTTATCAGGGTCTTTGCTTGGGTGGTTCATGTACAGAAAGAATAATTGGTAATACATACTATGCTTATTGTCAATGCCAAGCAGGATACACAGGACAAACATGTAATCAATGTAAGTTGGGGCATATTTCTTCTTATAATACGAGCAATCACTTAACTGACATAAAAAAAATCGTTGTACTTTCTATTTAGGCTATTTTAACTGTCCTGCGGCAGGCACTTACGCCGATACGGTCAACTGTCGACAAGGAAGATATTTCAGTTGTACTGCAGCTTATTATGGTGTGTATTAATATAACTAAGACAAAATAAAATCTTTTAATATTCTATTTTAGCGCCTGTGAGTGTTTCTTGTCCAGTTAATACAAGATTTCATCCGCAATTAAGAGCTTGTACTTCAGCGTACACATGCTGAAAAATACACGTGTTCCAGATTCTTATCAAAACATTTTTATATCCTGTTTTTTTCAAAGAAAAATTGTAAACAGTATTTTTATTGTAGATTTTTGGCTTATACAAAACTACTGTATTGCATTATTTAAAGAAAACAGCGGGAAAAATCTCCATTAGTGTGCAAAATGATAAACTTAGGAAAAAAGTTGAATGCTGTTACATAGTGAGTTTATTTGAGTCAGAACATGTTGAACAAACGTTGACCAGATATTTTGCTTGATCGTTTTCTTATTGAGGCTACACATTAATGAAAAGCATAGTTTACGCGTAACAGTTGTTAAAAGTATTTTGAGTTACTCTCTTCTAGTTGCTGTGTTACGTATATCCAACGGAATGCTTTTATCAAGTATAGCGGTCGTATAAATGGAACCTTAAAAACTTGAATAAATAAACAAACAAAATTGGTATGATCTTTTGTCAATGTTCGTAAGTAAGATGTTCATTGTTTAAGATGCTAAGTGTTAATGTATAGGAAAATTACTTCGGGCACACACAGCATGACTCTAAAAAAGAAATCCGGCTCATACTATTCGTCGTTCTATTGCATTCGTCATATTTTAAGGTGTTTGTTTCTGCAGGCCGTTTACTCCATCTTACTATATAATTGACGAAGAAGTCGTTTACCTCTTTTGTTTCGTGTCCATCCCTCTTATATAAAGAATAATGATTTCTTCGAAAGCACTTGTCAATTTATTTTGATTTTCTTACTAAAATCATTGGTATGGTCATTATCTGGGATATTTTCCTGGTCCTGCACAACAGAATTATCCTTAAAAATAAACTACTAATGCAAATAAGACGAATAAATTGATCCGTATTTAAGTAAGATGGTATAAAATTCATCGGATATATACTTCTTATCTTTAGACGAATAGAATAAGACGAATGTATCTGTCTGATCGGAAACGGACTTATACCATCTTCTTTTGAGATGGATTCTTTTTTAGAGTGAAATGAATCTGAGTGACATGACACCTAAATTAATATAAACTTCAATAATTGTGGATTGGTTACCTTAATTCTACAGGCGAACAGCGCTAAAAACATGTCATAATTAAGGTAGGAATTTATTCATAGCTCTAAAACTGGAAATAGCTGATCACAAAGATGTGAAATCAAAAAGTGATTTATAGTGATTTCAAATCATATTTCTATTTTTCTGGTAGTGTCACATACGGTCCACACCTATTATTTGAATTCACATGAAAAAACAAACAACGTTTTGTGGAGGCTTTCTAAATCGTTATTGGTTTATCTATTTCTTTAAAACCCAAAATGGAATCAACATAAGCCTGTTTTGAAAATCATTGAGATCCAACACTAAATCTACCGAGCAGTTTGTTTTTCTCATCTCAGTTTATTTAAAATAAAAATACCGTTAACTGAGCGGTGCAAAAATAGCGAAATGTTTGATTTCCTAGTGTTTCAACAGTGTTAAAATAACTGATTGTTTATCATTAAAAAGATCAAGGAAAATCTCTTGATTTTAATGATAATGAAGTACAAAATAATTGTGAATAGTATATAATCCTGCCTATCTGTTTCATTATAGTTCACGGTCATGTTTATATCATTTAAACATGAGTACATCTTTAAATATAGGTATGTGAAAAAAAATAGTTACAATTAATACTGTTTCTGAAAAAATGCTTATGTGTTTAAAATGAAGACTTAGATGTTTCACATAAAATGATATTAAATGTAGCTTAATTGCAACAGTCGAGCGAGTAGCTCATCTTATTTAAAAATGTTTTCCCAATGATTTACAACTGGATAAAACTTGTTAGCGTAATCCTTCCAAATGGTAAAAATTTCTAACAAGAATAGAAATGTGACATAGTTATTGAAAATAACTGTACGCTAGCTGTTTAAGCTGTTTAAGAGGATGTTCTACGTGACGGTAGGATGCCAAAAGAGACGCTTTCACAATTTTCAAACGACGATATCTTTTCAAAAACAGTTCTTGAGACAATTTTTGATGATGTGATTATTGTATCTCTTTGTCTATTGTCTATTCATATAATATATGGTCTTATTATATCTTCTTCTTTCTTATTCATTCAATGAGTCTCGATTGTTAGTTTTATCTATTAAAACGGTTAATTCAAATGTACACACGGTATGTCTCTTTTCTTTTTTTTACATCACCAAAACGGCATTTATAAGGATTTATTCTACTTCATTTTGAAATTTAAACAATAAACGGATACCCTAATAAACAATAAGCTCTTTCTCAACTATCGTTCAATCGTTTAACTGTTTCTCTTGATAAATTAGAATGTGTATAGACAAGAATAAAGAAAGAAAGAAAGAAAGAAAGAAAGAGAAAAAAAATTATGCAATACAGACACATCCCATATTGTTCTTTTTTTTTATTCGATTAATTAAATGTGTCGATTTTTATCTACTAAAACAAAATATTAATTATTGAACAGTAATATTCGTGATATTAAAGAGTCATGTTATCTGCTGTCGAATCGTCGTTATCATCGTTTTCAGATGAATATGATCAAAGTCTAACGGATTCTATACAACAACAGTCTATAAAACAGGAATGGTACAGTTAAAATTAAATTTTCCATCTTCTTTTTCATAAAAATATAGCTTCTTCCAAATAGCTACAATAAATTTAACAGATTTCAAACAAAAAATTTTCTCTCATTTTCTGAATCTTCTTCTCCATACATAATAAAGAAGTATCGATCAAGTTTTGTTTGAAGATGTACATTGTATTCAAAAACTCTAAGTCTCTTGACTAACTGAGACCTATTGCCAGCACAAGACTTTCAGCTATATCTTTATCAGATTATTTGTTACAGTTGTTTTTTCAAAAATAAGTGTGTTGTATATATAGTTGTTTAAGAAGAGTGTATAGTTTTTCTATAATATTCTCTGATTTATATACACTACACGAAATCTGTTTTTATATAGTTAAACAATGAATGATTTGCGTTCTCTACCTTTACTTTCCCAAATTGCGACATAATAAGAAAAGAATTGCATCTATCGACGTGTGGTTTCATCTATTGGAAGGATTAGGCGTTGTTAGACAAAGTTAATAAGATTTGATCGTGTTCAATATTATGTTTATTCTAATCTCATAAATTACATTTGAACGAATATACATATACTCCCGTTTAAATATTGACACGATTATTATGCTCGAGTATAGACGCGTCCTTGATAAAATGATATTCGGTAGTGTACGATTGATTTCATCATTGACTCTATATTGAAATAGAAAAAAGACATGACTTCTTCTTCTTCTTCATCATCTAGTGGTACAGAAACTTTGACTCCAGTTGTATCAAGTGAAATAATGAATACTACAGAAGAAGAACAAACGATTCCATCGTTAAATGTAAATGATTGTCACATATACAATATATTTTCAAAACATTTTTCAGGTTAGTAAACATTTTAATTTGAATTAAATTTAATACTTTTTGTTAATTGATCAACTTAAATTATAGTTTCAAGAAAAGTAAAACAATCAGCAGAAACAAGGAGTGTATGTTCAACATTTAGAAAGAAAAAACAGAAGTAATTTTCACAGTTTGTGGTTTAGATAGTTTATTTAGTTTTCATAGACACTGCTTAACGGAATATTTATTTCTTTATCGTAGAGCAAGTATTCACTCGTCAATATCAACGAATGGATCAGAATCTCAAGTAAGTAGATACATATCTTATGAAAAGATCGAATGTAAGTAATGAAATATTTAATGTTATTTTAGTTACCTGTACACAAAATTGATGATATATTCAATGGTGATCAAATCAAAGTATTTTTAGAAGATGGCTCATTAGAAGAATATAGATTTCATCATGAAACGACTGCTAAAGTGCGTATATCTTACATTACTTTAGCGTAAATCGAAAAGTTGATATTTTATCTAGGAAATTGTCTTAAAACTCGCTGCCAAGCTTCAAATAAAATGTGTTGATCGTTATCGTCTAACATTAACAGATATCCGAGAATGGTCGGTTAGAGCAATGCATTATATCAGACCCTGTGAATTGCTCACAAAAGTAAGTTGTATGATACAACTTAACATAAAAAATATCCTATACAAAATTACTATTATCATAGATAAAAACATGGAAAGAAGTTTCCCATAGTATTTGTGGGTTAAGATTAGTATTACTACCAAAAGATTCAACAGAACTCATTCACACAGATTCAATGACATTTCGATATCTTTATAGACAAGTAAGTGCGACACTCATGAAGTTATGACTAAAGATCGTTTCATTCATATTTTAAGTTAATTCTTAAGTTTGATTAAGTAATTAAGTCTTAACTTAATCTTAAGTAAGCGTTGATGTAAGTTTATCTTGACCCCGTGGAACGTGATCTTAAGTTATGTACTAACTTATGGCAAACTTGTCTAAAACGTCTCTTCTCGTCGAAAAAGTTAATTTGAGTAAGATTGGATTTTAAGAAAAAACTATGGGTAGATAAAACAAAGTTTCTATTTTTGGTGATCTAATGATTATAGTATAGTGATATAATGATTATAGTATAGTATAGTGATTAGACTCTAATCCCTATACTGAACAGTACAGTAATGTTTTCTTACGATTTTCCAAAAGCCTTCTAGAAGTTATATGTGGTATAGTTTTTTGTGATGTGAAATACTACGTGCATATATCGAAGGATATTCGTATGTCTTTATCAGATTAAACATGGCCAAAAACCTAAGATATAAGAGTTTATATAGAAAGTGCAAAATTGCCACGAATATGATTATAAATCATAGATTCATTCATTGTGATATCATACATCATCATCAGACAATAAACATTTTTTAGAGTGTCACAAAATTTAGTGTATATATATACATCGAATAATGTAAAACCAAAGAAAAATACATGGAATAACACAAAAGAAGCTTCTTTTGTTCGTAGAACTCGGTTTTTGGGCTGATACAATTGCACTCTTAGAGTGCTAGAATACTTTTAATTTGTATTTCACTACATTAATTGCTGTTCCATGAGATTAATTTGTTAACAAACTCTCTTTTATAACCCTCCTCTTTCAGATTGATTCTAATGCTAAAGTCTCAACATTGTTAAAGTCCATTGTATGCTTGTTGGTATTACAATGTTGAGCAATAAGTGATGTTAGTTTATTTTTACGAATATCGTTCTTGTGTTCTATCATTCTAGTCGTTTTCATACGATTAGTCTCTGCCATGTACTTATTGTGTTTATCAGATTAAACGAATTAAAGAAGCTTCTTTTGTGTTAATTCCATGTGTTTTTCTTTCGTTTTACGTTATTCGATGTATATATATATATATATATACACTAAATTTTGTGACACTCTAAAAAATGCTTATTGTCTGATGATCGTAAGAGCGACCTACCGAAATATCACAATAAATTAATCTATGATTTATAATCATGTTTGTGGCAGTTTTGCACTTTCTATATAAACTCTTCCGATTTTCAACTGCTCTCTCTCCAAGTTTCACGAGGGTATAGACTATTTATCTTTTTATTTTTTGAAACATATTTTCGTCGGAAACAATATACTATAACCTTAAAACTATTTCTCAAATTTCGTCTCCACCACTTTCAGCATTTTAAAGACTGGTTTTTTCTCTTTAATACCACGAGCTCCTGACAGAGATGAGAGGCTAAAATCCTTGTTATAAAACAGCACATTAAAAGAATCTCAAACATTGTTTTCTTAAGTGTGTAAGCATATCAACCTAAACAAGAAAGTTTAAAATCTTGTTTGGTTGCAGTCTATTGTGGCTTTGAACTATCCATAATCGATTGCCTTGTATACCGCAAGTTTTTAGTCGAGATACTCTTAATAAATTTCTTGATGCTGAATAGCATTTAGTCTTCTTCCGAAACTTCTTAATAACTATTAAGCGGAACAATAAGGAAAAATTTTTCAAAAGTATTTCTCGTTCTCAAATTTGTTATGTGCAAGGTAGTTGACTAGAGAGAGTCCAAATTTATAGCCGCATATCAATTCAGTGGCGAAATTTTAAAAGCGTGTTCGACCAAAACTGATTGCAGATTCGGACTCTCCATAGTCGGTTACCTTGTACGCAACAAGTATTGAATGGAGGTATATAGAAAAAATTTCTTAGTCCGATTCCGCCCTTGGTTTCCTCCAGGAACTTTGTAAAAAATTCTTTTGCAAATAAACGATGGAAAATTTTTTCTGGAGTATCCCGATTCAAAACTTGTTGCATACAAGGTAACTGACTATGGAGAGTCCGAATATGTGATTAGTTTTGGCTGAACACGCTTTTAAAATGTCTCGACTGCATGTTTCAATCAAGAAACTTTTTAAATCTCTCGATTAGGTTGACATGTCATGAACTGAAAAGTATTGTTAAGAAGCTCTGTGAAGTTCGAATAGAAAACAAGCTAGTTTCAATCACACCCCACGTCAATACAGACAAAAGCGTATGACATGCCAAACAAAATGATTTCTCTTCATTTTCCAAGCAAATAAAAAAAAAACAGGAAAGCAAAAAAAATATTTTTTGCCTACTACAGGGATTGAACCTGTGACCTTCGCTTTACGAGAGCGACGCTCTGCCACTGAGCCAAGCAGGCATGCTTTCTCTTATAATAATTACACATTATATGATGTTCTGTTTTTAGTGTATCAACGATTTTTTACGAGAACGATATGGTAGTGATGTCAAATTAGATTTGTCTATTCGTTTAACGTCATTACTTATTTTGGATGAAGCCATATGTAAAGGAGGAAGTCATAAATTGGCAGTTAAATTAGCAAAGTATGTACATGTATGGCTAAAATATCTCAAAACGTGACATCATCTGTTATTTTTACAGAAAATCACTTTTACTCAAGCAGTTACTACCACGTTCGATTATACAAAAGTTCACGCTGAAAGAGTTAAAAAAACAAATATTAGCTCAACTATGGACATATCATACAACACTACTAAAACGACCATCACAGTTAGAAGTAGCTACAGAATATTTAAGATTATTTTCACAAATTAGAACATACGGAGGAAAATTATTTCCTGTTAAATTTCCCGTAAATGTATTTTACCATATAAATCATATAGAATCATTATATGGTGTATTTTTTTTTAAGGAAAAACACCAAGATATCATTCTACTGGTTGGACCCTATTGTGGTGTTGCGGCATTAGGGAATTTAAGAAGTAATACGGTAATATTACGATTATTTTTTAGAATATGATCTATTAATCCTAATTAAAGAACAGTTTGGATTTTTGTTTTGATTTCTCTTTTAAAAAATTTAATTTTTTTATTAATCATAATATTTAGAAGGAAAGCGTGATGATGTAGAATTTTAAATAATGTAGAAGTCAACAGCATTTTAATGGTGGAGATGACATATTCTTGTCTAGACTTTATATAACTTTTTGACATTTAGAAATTTAAAGAAAGTCTATTAAAAAAAAACTAGAAAAGTTTAGAACACATTGAATCCAAAATTTTTTTGTTGACATCTACAAATAGTTAGAACTAGCACCATTCTATACTAATAATGTTTAGATAATGTCGTTGATTGACTTTGAACATTTGACCAGTTTACAAATAAAATATTGGAAAAACGGATTATGTATTCGTTTATTAGCGTCAAGTAAATGTTTACATCAGGTAAATAATTTTACTATAATCTCTAGGCAAAATTAATATTATTCTACACATACTCATTTTTATTTTCAGGATGTTTCATTTTTAATCCATGAAAATTTTTTAAATGATTTTATCGTTTTAACAGAAGGCTATTATTCAATCGTTAATTATGGCCAACAATTACATATTGAAAGTATGGGTAAACAAACTATTCTGTAGTAAAAACAAACTTTTACATTTGCTTTTTGAACTTGAACTCTTCTATTATAGAATTGTTCTGTTTTCCTAAGAAAACAAAATAACAATTTTATTTTCTTATCAGATGATTATTATGACTATTTTAACACTTGAAAATTTTAAAAGACACGACAGAACATATCGAAAATGAAAGTTTAAAACATTTTCGTTATTTCAAAAGAGATAGAATCATATGGAGTATTATGGTCTCCTTTTTAATAAAAAGTATGTTTAACATTTTTTAAACTTTAAAGTAAAATTATCCGGTGAGATATGAATGATCAGAAATCTAAGTTTTCGTAATGATGTAAGAAATCATTAGTTTCTAGTAATTAATTCTAGTAGTATAAGATTAGGTACTTAGACAGTAAAGAGAAATTCTTTTTTATTATACAAAAGTCTTTTTTTTTACTTGTTTTTTAACATGTGAAATAGATTTCTTCAACGACACAGCTTGTTTTGACATTTTTTCTATTAAAAACTGAAGAGCATGAAGCAGAGGTGCAAAATATACTCGTTCCGTCCCCCGTCGGGAGAGAAAAGTCTTTGATTTAGGGAAATTTTCTAGAAAACCTTTATTAAAATAGCATTTTTGCTGAAAATTAACTGCAGAAGAAAATATTCTGACACTAGTGGAAAAGATGTTTAGAAATATTTTGTCGGGGGAAATTTTCGTTCTTACGGGTAGATTCTGCACCAGCGGTGGGCGAATCATGCCTTCCTCGGGCTCACACTCGTCACAGCTCGCAAAATAGCGACTCGTAGCTCGGCTCAGCTAGACAATAATATTATAAAATCAGTTCGCACTCGATCCAGTTCGTAGAGTCATGGCTTGAGGATCGGGTGGCGTGCAATTAAAGTCCCGGGTATCTAATACTTTTTTAAAACATGGACAGTATCACGTACCACAGATGAACACTCAATTCTATTGATTATCATTATGACCAGAGAAGTTTACATAAGCGATTTTAAGCAAATTTTTAGCCATACTGTTGATGGTCATGAACACTTTTTGTCAGAATCAACTATGTTAAATTCAAACGGTTTCTTCTTCAAATTCTCAATTATTGTATCAGTGGTATATTTCATAGAAGGAGTTGAGGAAAAAGACACTTCGTCATCGTCTTCAGGGAAAGATAATAACGCTAACTCCATTTGAATTATTGTTTCTTCCTTTTTTCTCAACTGTTTATAGTTAAATAGGCATCATCAGAAGACGATATGAACCACTGGTCGAGAAGCTTGTGTTTCCACAGATACGCACTTTTTTCATATATTAAGTCGGGACATTTTGAACAAAATTCAAAGAATTTCTTAATTTTTTTTAAAATTCCTCATTTTCTAAAGTTTCTGCCTGCAAAAGACGTAACAGGATTCTGGTTAGATGTGACAAGATAAAAATCTTGTCTGCAAACACCTTCTTGCCTCGACAGACAAGATAACGCTACGAGATCCTTGTCTGCCGATACAAGATAGCGGTTACAGGCAAGATTCTTATAAGAGGAGAATATGGGCAAGTCGCTTATCCGTAAAGGCAAGGCACAAGATTCTTGTCTGTGGAACCACAAGTTTCTCGACAGATAACCTAAGGGATCAAAAGAAAGATACACTGAAATAATTTACAGATAGATGGATGAACGGATGAAAAAAACTACAAATCACGTTATAGTGTTCACACTATTACTGGAGAGGTGCTAACAGCGGTAGTTTCGCCCATATATATGATAAAAAACATGTAAGAACGTAGTATCCAAAAACGTAGCTCGCGCTAGATCCGGCTCGTGGGGTATCGGCTTGCCTGAAGAAAAAGAAAGTCTGCTCGCGGCTCGACTCGAGCCTGATCGAGCTAGGCCGTGAGCGCGAGTCTACAAGCCGATTAGGTAGCTCGCCCATCTCTGTTCTGCATCTCTGACATGATCTAGTTTCGTTTGTCCTGTGATGTGTTGATAAAGTATATGTCTTTTATGTATTCGCTCTGACTTGTGTAAAGACATAATGACTATGAATGAAGACTAAAACAGTGAAAAAGGCTTCAAAATTATTATAATTTTCATTTAAACAAATGTCAATCTCTTTGTAATCAAAATGAATTATCATTATTATTTTCCACAGATGATAACACAAATCAAATATATTCGCCTGATATAACATTGTTCATCGATGCAATAGGAAGGAAAAAAGTAAAACTCTACTATTTGAAGACAAAATCTTATAACAACAATAGTAACAATAAAAGAATGCTTATTTCAAGTATATGAGAATATTTATTCACCTATAACACTTATGAAAGAATTATATTGACAGATTAAAATACAAGTCGTTTCAATGACTAGTAAATAAGTCTAGTTTTTCACTGAAATGACAAATAAAACCAAAAAGTCAGTGAATTTTTGGTTTTTACTCAAGTCCTGAGTGTTTTGATTGAATAGAACAAGTTTTTTTTTTATTTTTAGAAATTTTTCCAACAGTAGTCAATCAGAATACTCAGGTATAAAATAGATCGTCTACTATTTATGTTCGAAACATGTTTTTTACTTTTTTCTTAATCAGAATATTCCAACATCGCTTCCAACAACAAACGAACAACAATATGAAAGTTCTATACCTTGTTCAAATATTTTTCTTGCCAATAAAAATCATCGTGTTAGCTCAAAATCGTTTGGTTTTAATCGTGATCAACAAACCGGCGCAGAATTAACCGTTTATTCAAATATAGTTAACGATATTGACAATGATACTCTACAAAGTAATAGTCGTCTTCGTTTTTCAAAGAAAAAATCCACAAATTCATCGGATAGTGGTGATCAAAGAAGTATCGTTCGACGACTATTATTACCACATAAAAAATATTCATTTCGAAAATTAAAATTATATAAAAGACGTTCATCAAGTGGCGATTTAGTTCGATTTAATAAATCGAAAGATGTCCTAGCAATTAACAAAGTCAACAGTTTACCATTAGATACGAATTCTACTGGAACTTGTCTATTAAGTCATTTAAAATCCGTTAGTGAATCAGCATTGAATATAGCAGCAAAAGAAAAAAGAACGGAGCAATATAGTCCTCAAGTAAGCTCGTAGGTTCATATCGGGTTGTAACCAAGGAATGGGAGGGGAACTGCTATTTTAGTGGAAGATGGTAAAAAAGATCCTACAGAAAGTGATCAACAAGAAAATGAAAACCTTTTCTTTTTTTGCACTAATAAAGTGCATCCCCCGTTTAAGCGAGTAGCACAGCCAGGATTTTTTGGACGTTCGGATAATTTCCTACTGAGACAAAAGAAAGGGTTGGATATAATCATAACATGTTCACAGGTGGAAGTGATGGTGAAAACTTTGACGTAAAGCAAAATTCATGAAGAGGCTATTCTCGTCTGATCGAGGTTACTGTGAGCTTTAAGTAGTTAGTTCAGTGGATCAAAACCGATATTTTAAAAATTCTAAAACTTCAACAAAAGGATGATGTATATTCAATAGGATTTGTTCAAATTTATTGGATTTTAGTTGTCAACATGTAGTAAACTATCTAAAATTACCAGTCCATCTTTATTATCATTTACAAAACGTTTACCCTTATTTTCATCAAAAGTTCTATGTCTACCTTCACCAAGTTCGTTTATTCAGCAATCAGATAATGAAACAATCTCAAATATTCCAAATCGAACGGAAATGTCTCCGCGTACCGGTCAAATATTTGAACGTTTACCATCACTACCTGAAACTAAAGTACAAGAAGATTCTACATATCAACTATCATCAATTCAAGCATGTTTTCAAGAATTTGAAAGAGAAAAAACACACTCACCAATGAAAAGTATTCTACGAAATACTGCTGGTACGAGTACCACTACAACATGGGAAAAAATTGGTAATTTATCGGATGATGAACGAACAATAAATGCACGAAAAAGAATAGATCGACTACTTTCTACTGAACCATCGTTATTAACTATTGGAGTAACAAATCAATATGATCATTTAAACACTCATGTTTCCTATTTTCAATGTAAAGAAACAAATGATAAAGAAGAAAAAGATTTGTCACATGTTCAAGAACAACAATCAACTATAACAAATTTATTAACAACAGCTATAGGCAAACAGGTAAATATTGGAAAAGTTGAAAAAGTCTATTCAATGTATAATCATCAATTTATTATTGCTTCAAAGATTCCTAAACGTCAAACACATATTATTTCGCAACAGCAACAGCCAATTGTTTTATATCGGACAATTGTCAATATTGTCGATCCAAATGAACAACAGGAGAATATCTATGACCCAATTCAAACTCAATTAAACAAATATTTTATACAAAATAAAGGTAAAACTATCGGATAATATTTTCTACATTATTATAATTCATTGATAAATCGTCATACTTTATATTTAACCACAATTTGTTCAGGATTACATATATATTTCTATAAGCTCTTCATCATGATCGGTCTTTTGCGTACAAAATTTATTAGTAAGATATCCTGAAGGTATGATGAAACTTAAATAATAAAGAAAAAAAAACAAAAAAAAGAAAAATACTGCCAACTATTAGTTTTATACTTCATACAGTTAAATTCTTTAAGGCAATGTTTGGTTCATGTATATTTTAGAAGACGAAGACGAAGAAGAAGAAGAAAAAAAAAACGAAAGAGTTGTTTATTCTTTATTCTTTCTCGGTCATACATTGCTGTCTTTTTGACCACCACTGTACGAAATGAAATAAAGAAGTTTTAAAACTTTTTTTTTCTTTAAAAAAAAAGAAAAAAAAAAAAAAAAAGAGGAAAAAAATAAATCATAATTTAGTAGAGAAACAAATTTTATTTGATCTGTTCACGATTACCGATAAATAGTAAGTATTTCAATTTCTCTATTCAAAAATGAACGTTTGATGAATTTTCTCAAAAGATAATCAAATATAATACTAAATTAACTAGGATTTCATTTCTGCTCACTACTATACAGACATTCTTCTTGAGACACCTTGTTGTACATAAAAAAAAAATCTTTTTTATTAATACCCTAGCAAGGAAATAATAATAATAATAATAATAATAACAATAATAATAATAATAATAATAATAATATCCTTTTTCAGATATGCGTAAGACACTAAGATTAATCTGACGACGAAGAAAAAAAAAATTGTTCTATTTTATACGATTATTAACAGTTTGCGCACACGTTTATGATTTGGAAGGTCAATATATTTTAGTTATTATTATTATTTGAACTGTAACTTAGTCTATATTTTCATTGTCAATAAATACATACACTGTTAACACTATATAGTAAAAAAAAAAAACCACATTTATTCAATATCTGTTACATCTATCTCCAATATATTGTATGTTGTTTTTTTTTCGTTTATAAACTAGAAAAAAAACAAAAAAAGCGATTAATTGAGAAGAAATATCAAACAGTTAAATCTCTTATTAAAATAATATAACATCATTCCAAAGATCTGACAAAATGAGAGATGAGACATGAAAAAAAAAATTTTTTTTATTATTATTATAATCTACTCTTTTCTATTCAATTATTTATTTCTCATTTTGTTTTTATATTTTTAAATAGGTAAAAATAATTATACATCTCAAATGGAACAAAATTTATCTCTGGCAAATGATGAAGAGGATGATGATCAACCAGATGTTATTGGTAAGTTTAAATTTTTTAAAATATTTTTTGAAATAAAATAATAATATTAAAAAATATTCTCAATACAGATTTAACAACATCATGTGCTTATTGGGGTACATTACAATTTCCTGTTCGACCACCCGATGCATTTGCCGATAATGAATCAATGACAACAAATACAGTTCTTAAAACAACAAGTAAATGTATTGATTGAACGAAAATCAAATAGAAGAGTCTATGTATACATTTTTATTTTTTCTTTATTTTTAATTTAGATATTTCACGACAATTGGAAGAAGATGAAAGTGGATTTGTTAGTGGTTCAAGTGGATCAGAGAAAAATGATCGTAGCAAAGGTAAAAAAAATGAATTTAGATTTATTTAATTGAAAATTTATTTTTATTTATTATCCAATTTTTTCTTAAGTCAAAGATTATATATGATTTATGAAGATTTATATGAGCATGTCTTATATTATTATTCTCTTATGATATTGTAGACAGTGATTTGTCTACTCAATTAATTAAAATGTATAGACTTTGTTTGACATAATCATAAAATAAAGAAATATATGGATATAGAGTTGAACAGAATAGATTCAATAGTAGAATAGAAAAGAAAAATAGTTGTGATGAACAAATATTTATTCTAATTTAAAAATAATATCGATCTGTTGTCTTTTTTTTTTTTTGTCTTTTTTTTTTAGATGCAATTCGTTCATCATTTTTGAAAACAAAATTTCATACTCATCATACAATTCGTCATCCATCAAAAAAGTTAACTGTTGAACCGATTACTATTTGTTATCCACCTCATCCTACTTCAAATTTAAATCGATTACGAAAGAATAATCTTCCATTAAAACAAACTTTATCAACACCATTACATATCTCATCAGGTTTAGAATTAGAATTACTACCATCTTCACCGCCACCACCACTACTATCATCACAACTACCATCACCATCTCAATCACTTGTTGTTCAACGTTCAAAATCATTGGATAAATTACAATATGAAATTACAACAGGTAACCTGAATACAAACAATAATAATCGTACAACTATTGGCTCTGATGATGAATATGATGAAAATATATATTCCTCACGAGTAATTCAATCGGGTACATTTAGTCGAACATTAGATCGAATTCTTAAACGACAATCACGTTTAGATAAATATCAACAACAACATCCACGATCAACAAGAGAAAAATTACTTAGTTTATTTCATTCAAATAAAACAAAAATAAAATCATCATCAAAATTAGTTGAAATTGACAATAATCTACGTGAACAAAATATAATAATAAATAAAGTAGATTTAGATTTATTAGAAAAATCTACAACTACAAATGGTATGAATATTTTAAAGAATAAATTTAAAATACTAATAAAACATGAATTATATATTATTAGAATAATTTATCAAATTTTTAAAATTTCTTATATTTTTTTTTTTTTTTATAGATAAGTATCAAATTTCGAATCATGATTATAAAAAAGATCCAATAGAATCAAAATTACAATTTGGAAAACAAAATAGTTTATCATCAACTGATATTGAATCTCTTGAAATAAAAAGTAAAGCATCAGGTAAATATATAGACATTTTATATTAAAATGTATACTTATAAATATAATATTTTCTCATTTTAGAATCAGTGAAATCGACTCTAGGCGTTGTTCTTGGCCGTGTTCAAAATGAAAGTCATGGAAAACAAACAAAATCTTTAACAAAATTAAATCATAATGATGTTCCTGCTGTTATTCGTCGTAATTCATTAATGGTAAATTCATCCTCTAATTATATTAATAATATTCCACCACCCGACTACGATTTAACACCAAAAATGAAAACTAAAAAAAAATATACTCGTTCAAAAACAGCTGATATTCTTATATCGTATGAATCATCAATAAAAAATGTTCAACTTTTATCACAAACAAATTCAGAAGATACACAACCTTCAATTCAACGAAAAAATGGTATTACATGGGTAACACTAAAACGAAATTCTTCACCTATTAAATCAACATTAAATTTAACAGAAAATGTTTATGAAACACCGATTGAACGACAGTCTTCATCATCATCGGATTCATTTGTAGAAAATAAACAATCAAAAAAGAAGAAGAAAAATTCAACAATTGATCGACTATCATCACTATCAACGCTCAATTCTTCAACATCTTCCTTATCATCGATTGATGATACGTCAAAAAAAATAAATTCTACATCAATTAATGAACAAGAAAATATTTTAAATGGTACAAATTCAGAAAAGATAATAGATACGTCAACGATGGTAACCAATCGTCGTCGATCACCCCTAAATGATTTACGAAATATTATACGGCGTATGAGATTTAAAAATCATAAAACTAATAAAGATTTTGGAACAATTAATGTTAGTGGAGAGACGAAAACATCTATTAAAAATCATTTACAAAAACAACGAATAAAACATCCTCAAATACAAATTGTAGATGTTGAACAAGTTTGTCTTTTCAAAATTTTTTAATAATATTTTATTATATTAAATTTTTTTTATTTTTAGAAATTTAAATCTGAACCATTAAAAGCAATTCATGATGATTTACCAATCTCTACTGTCATACCTAGTCCTCCTATTGAAAATGATTCAATAATGGATATTGAATTAGAACTTGATAAAATTGTTTTACAAGAGAAAAATGATGTTCAGAATGATAGCAGATATAATTTTGGTACAAATACAAATGATGAAGATGTTTTTCTTAATGAATCTTGGACATCTCAGTATACAACAGTAGATGATAGGAGGCAAGAATATCAAAGAAAAGGTTCGTATGTTATTTTTTTTTTTAAAGAAAATATATCATAAAATTTATATTATTCAATAAAATTCTATTGTAGGTGGTCTACGTAAACATGGTGCACTATCGCCACGTCGTCGTCAACAATTACGTGTTCATTGGCATGATGGAATAATTGATCCTACAGCAACAGAACTCGAACAAATACTCAATTATAGTCTTGATTTATGTCTAGATCCATTTGAATCATCAAATGAAATTTTAATCTATTTACAATATGAACTTCAATTAAAACTTGATTATTTCTATTCTCATTCAAATTCTCCAACTGTATCACAGGATAATGAAAATTTAGATGAAACTAAAAAATTAATAGAATCTCAATGTCGTCAATTTGTTTCACAATCAAAATTATTTGTTAATGGAGCAACAGAATCTATTGATGATGCTAAAAAACATTTGGCTACATGTACAACAATATTAATTGATTTATATCGTCTATTAAATAAATATACAAGTGTAGCAAATGATAACGAAGAATCAATTGAACTATTGAAGTGTACAATTCATTTTATTCAAGTATTTAAGAGCTGTGTTCATTTAGCTAAATTAGCAGCGGGTAAACCATTCTATGATCAAAATATGAGAATGTTAATGAGACAAACATCGGCATTAGCTCAAGCATTAAATGACCTATTAAAACGATTGAATAATTATAAAAAATATTAGCTATTTTCTCGTTTTGTACATATTTAAGAGTAAAATGAAATTTTGAAAAATCCGTCCGGGTTACAGTATTTCTTGGATAAATAAGTTTATAAAACAGAAGAAGAAGCAGAAGTAAGCAAGTTAGCTCATAACTTAAAACAGTAGACCACTCAATGTATAACGAATCTTCACTCGTTTATAATAAAGAACAAAAAAAACAAACGATCGACGTATTTTATACCATTCTATCAATATTGTTTCGTTTCAAATTTTATTCATTGTAACTTCAAATTTTAAATGTTTTATTTCGTTACTTTCCAAATATTTATTATCTTTCCTATATTCTGTTGGTTTTTATGATCTTTTTTAAAAACCGTTTGCAACATCTATATTGCATCACCATGTGACACGAATATAATAATATCATTCAAATAGAGTTCTTCTAATTTTGTTGTTCTTTTATGCATACCACTGGTTGATTTAGCTTCAGTTTTATTTAATAAATGTTCACGATCCTTTATCGTGTCTAATGTCCATATATTTTTCATAACTATTTGTCAAATATTTCGTTTTGGATACCAAATGCGCAAAGACGTTGCTGCTTTTCTACATGTATTTGAAATTGAAATTGAAATTGAACAAAAATAATCATTGCTTCTTTTTGTTCCGTAGCCATCGACTTTAGATGGCTCTGATAAGTTTTTCAGTATTTATTCTGTTTATGCCAAAAACTGACCACATATGCATGATACGTACCAGTGAAAATTGCGTATTCTACCGCTTTTCAGTACCGGATAGTTTACGGTTTACTAACTCTAGATATGGCTTGACCAAAGGGGAAAGTCACTTTTCAGTGGAAAAAGTGAACAAAGTAACTAAAAGGCTAAAAAATGAGAACGCCATCTAAAGTGACTTTCTTTTCTTTGTCTTGACCGACAAGTCAAATTTTTATTTTCATTTGATATGAATTACTGAGAAATATTACGTAACCATTTTTTTTGTAACTTCATGTTGTTCATGCATGAACAAAGTTTTTTTCCATAGAGGAATGCAAGATAAAAATTCAGATTACACAGTGACAATTTGCACATTAGTCTGGACTCGAAATACACACTTGGGGAAATGCGCATTAGCGGACACATTTTATTTTTTACAGTGCCTGGAAACTGTCTTAGATTAGCTATGGATACTATCGCAAAATACTACGCAAACTATCTTAAAATATATGGAGAGTGTCTTAGGTTGGTATGGATTCCGTCTTAAAACCAGTTATAGAGAATATCTTAAATTACTCTTGCGGTTTGTTTTAGCGCTGATGATGTTTTGTGGTGACAGGAAGACTATCTTAACCCTTTACACCCGCCGGTCCCTTCCAAGGGACGTTAATGTAATAGATTTATGAAAAGAACGGATCATCAGCCAAAAAGCTAGATTATTACTAATGTAAGACAATACAGTAGCCTAACGTTTGATTGAAAGAAGAAAGAAAAATGTCCATCTTAATCCGATATTTTGAATTTTAAAATTGAATGAAGTTCAGGAATGAATTTTTGTTTTTAAATATTTTCTATACTTATAGCCACTAAACCATTTTATAATTTTGTAGTTGATAGTTTTGGTTGTATGGATGAACTTTATAATGAAATCAAAGAAGAAATTTTTGTAGCATTCTTCTTTGCGTAAAGGCGCTATGAATTCACTGTCCCTTGGAAGGGGCATTCG